TTTCTTGAACTTCAAAAAAGCGTTCTATTAGTTGCCCCACAACCGCCTAATCGTTAAGGCGAAATCATACTGTTTCCAGGACCCGTTACTATCCTGGCTAAGGACATCTTTGGATGGTCGCCTTTAAGTGGTAAAACTCAGTAACCGCTGCCCCTCTAATATACCTTTACAAAGTAGTGTCGTCCAGGGTAGTGCGCCAGGACCATCACCTTTTACTAATCTACTCAGACGATGTCTGTAGCGTTATCAGATGTGGCACAACTTGCCTCTTCGCAGACGACTTGAAGATTGTCTGCGGCTTTCTTTGCGCGGCGCTAACACAAGGTTTATCTCAAGTGCTAGACGACCTGAGGAGATTGTCCACATAGCTCATGACCTGGGAGCTCCCTTTAAACCCGAATAAAGGTGGCATCCACTGTTTCAGTAAATCCCACCCGGAAGAAACACTACATGTTGGTGACATGCCACTGACAATATTTAATGCTGTGAAAGACTTCGGCATCACCTACCCCAGGAGTTTGACTTTTGTCTGGTACGCAGACCCAGTAGTTCCCAGAGGCAGAAGACTCAGAGGTCTTCTACACAGCAGCATGCTCACACCTAATGCAAAACTTACGCTGCATAGGGCTGTGGTTCGCCCAGTATCGGAGTATTGCACAGTCATCTACGGCAGCGTGGAAGCGTCCGATAGCATTCCAGCTGAGAACATCCGGCGAAACCACTTATTGCCTACTTATACATAACGAAGGACATCCTTGCGAAGTAAGGTGCAAAAACTGGAACCAGAATAACTCTGTCTGAGATGCCTGAAGCCCAACTTGACCTTTCTATTTCTTTTTATTCGATGAATCCAGCCGTGCCATCACCTTTAATTCAATGCAAGCACATGGCCATCGTAGCGACGAAAAAGCCATTCCCAAAAGTAAGTATCGTGCATAACTCTGATGTGGATTTTTCATTGCTCAGTATGTTACGCTGGGGAATAAACTCACCTCTGCAAGAAACATTACGGTTGGCAAAAGGAAAAAGGGTTTGTCAAAAGAAATTTTATGGTAGTATGTGATACAGGCAGATGGCCAGAAAGAATAAGCAACAAGAAATCTGGCTGGCAACGAACCAACCAAGAACATATCGCTCAACAAATATGCAGTGGCAGGAAGTGGAGATGGATCGGGCATGCACTGAGAAGACCATTCGGAGACATCATGCGCCAGGCCAGGCACTCGAGCGGAACCCAGATGGGAAATGACGACTTGGGTGTCCGAGGTGATAGTGACATGGAGGAGATGGTGTGAGGGGGGGAAGTGAGAGCTTGTGGGCTTGTGAGCTTGTGTGGACTGAGGTCCTATGTTCCACTAGGAACCCAAAGGATAAACGACGAATGATGGGATACGGGAGTACTGGCGACGGGTCCTGAGATAATTCGAAATATAAAAGAGGCCTGGCGACGTGGCTGACTGACTGGTAGACTGGCTCCATTTCTTCCACCACGGCTATAAGCGGTATGCAAAGATGCAGGGAAATGCCCACAACTTTATCTTCAACAGGGCTTCAGCATTATTCACGGAGCTACTAGGAGCGATAATAATAATATTTATTCCTGAATATATAGGCTGACACCATTTTTACGGGTATGATTAAGTTTCTATACAAATTACACGTCTTCGTAAGAAGTAATATCAATCCCCACCTATTGGCACCGGAAGATGTAGGTGCTGCATGTTCACATAATGGAACATCCCAGCAGAATAAATATGCAGAAGTATGTGGAGCAATATAGCGGCCATGGCGGACACATGTTGAGTTTTACGTGAACGAGCAGAAATAGAACTTTTCATCGCGGAGGTGATATGTATAGTTACCAATATTATTTATCGCTGTATGTACAGCATACCTTGACATTTCAATGGACCTGGAGATGTATTTCTTTCCAATGATACATAGAATTTACTTTGATACTTCCTTCTATGCACAAGATATTCCAAATGAAAACGCTTGAGTAGTTTGGCCAGTATTGCTTCCTTAGACTGAGCTTCCTCAGTTTCTCCCCATTTTTCCTTAAATGATGCTGTTAAATATTCACTAAAAATGGCTTTCACTGCTGTCAGACAGTCTAAAAACATAGCAAGAGTTCGACGTTCAACTCAAAGTGCACTATTTTTTATGATGTGAAGTGTTTTTTCTTTCAGGCTGGGGATTTCTACCACCTGGGATAAAAAAGAGACGATGCAAGACAAACATTACCAAAGATTTCCCACCACTAAATGTTATAACCGTTTCTGTAAAAAATGATGTGCATCTGTAAATCCAGGAATGAATTACTATTATTATTATTATTATTGAGGTGACGGATCTGATGGTGGGGACTTATGGAAATCACCCCTATCGGTGAGGTGGTCAAGAATGGATGAAGTCTCTGGATGTACGACGACATATCACAACAAAGGCTACGAATGACGATGGGTGTCTGGTGACCACGGTGACAACCTCTAACCTCCTCCCCGTCATCTCAGCCACCACATTTGGCCAAGAGGGTAGAGGCTAAAGGAGAAGAAAGGAAGATGGTGCGTGGAACAGGTAAAGTGGCGACAAACTAAGACAATACAGAAATGCTCAACAACAAGAGAAGATAACAGATCTGATGGTGGTGACCTATGGTAACCACCTCCTATCCAAGGTCATTGGATCGAGTATGCTCTCTACGCCTTCCTTCTTTTTGAGATTGTACTATCTTCCTCCTCCCCTACCCCAACTAGCTAGGCACTTAAATAGATGTCAACATTCCCCAAACGGCTGGGTTGCAATGAGATCCGTGTCGGAGACATGAAATCCTATGCCTGCAACTTGAACAGGAACTGGGGTGATTAAAGACTTCAACAGATCTCTGGGCATTTTTATTCCTGCATAAGAATCGATTATCGATAACCACCTTACAAAAGAAGCCACAGATGAAGCCAGTCATAGAAATATATCTCGTAAATTAGGCAGCGGCAGTTGACGTGAGTATTTTCAGTAGGATTTTTCATTCTTATAAAGGTTATGCAGGAACTCTCTGCTGAATGAATGCATACAAACTTCGTTTTACACGTTGTGGCCTTTACATGTGTCTTCTGATCAGTGTTCGGATGACGTGCGGAAGAGACAGAAAATACAAGACACTGACCGCAAGTCTTGGAGTTTAGTGACATCAGTATTCAGCCAAGATACACTTCATGCTCTGTGGGAATTGAGAGAAGGTGAGGTTACCTAGTATCAAAAGCTGCAATGTCGAGTGTTGCATTTAGCCGCATTACGTTGACCAGGTAGAATTTCAGCTTGCATACACTACATTCCATTAGACCCAGCATATTCCTTACGCCTTCCCTCTTTTTGAGATTATACTGACTATCTTCCCCCTACCTTACGCATACTCACCAAAGCTCTTACTGGCTCTCGAATGCTGACCGGAGTCATCTTTCTTCGCCATTCGTAATACACCTTAAACCCGGACATGGGAAATAAACCATACAAAACTCCAAGTGCATTCTAAAAGTAGATTTAGAGGACAAACGTCTGCGTCCCATTCAGGTTTAGGTTAGGTATTGGGAATCTGCAGCGTTTCTGTGAAGCGGTTGAACTGTGCTTCAGAATGCTATGTTGAACCTTCCAGCAAACTGTCTTACGAGGTTATTAACAAACCACACTCCTCGAAAGGTGACTTCACTTACCGTCGTCTTCTTCTCGCTGTCGTGCTTAATAAGATTAGACAATTTCCGAGTACTGAACAACAATGACGTCTCCTCCATGTCTCTCACCTTTTCCACCCACCACTACTCGCGACTGACACGGAGACACGCATATTCTGGTTTCGCGTGTCGTGGCCACAAACCGCTTTCGGATGTCACGTATATTAACTGCAGAATGTTTTCCGATAGGCTGCAATGTGTGGGGTAACTAACTGATCTACTGGTCTTCGAACCTGACAACTCCTGGATTATGGACTTCCTATCTGAGGTGAGGTGAATGTGACATTTCCAAAACAACAAGCTTCAGTAAGTTGTTTTAAGGGAATTGTTCCAATTCTCTTACTTTTTCTGCCATGACAGTGAAAAGCAGAAGACATGCAGGTCAATAATGCGTACATAATCCGAAAATGCGAATATGCAGTTGGTGGCCGGTGATGGTTTGTGCGCGATGTCATGGCGAGAGTGGGCTTGAACGAAGTGGTTAGTTTATTAATTGGGTGATAAACACAACACAACATTGGTGGAACTGAAGAAATGAAAATCAGTCTTGGCGACCGTTACTGGCCAACAGCAAATGGAAAAGAGTTGGATTATGTTCAGAAACGGAAGAACTTGGCATTGACGCTAATTCACTACTTCGAAACGTCTGTGAGGTTGAATTTGCCCATGGCAACAAAATCCTGTTTATTGTTTCCTCTACCCAGAGCGTCTGGTATTTCTGACGGTTACACATTTAGGATCCGGACTCATTTGTAGCGTTGCACCCAGTGAGACAGCTCGTGTTTAAAAATGCGGAAGCACTTTAACGTGGCCAAGGAGTTAACCAAAAGCTAGTGATTAGTCATTCTCACCAGTTTTACGAGGGTCGTCGAGAGCGGCCCTATCACTACAGCGTAAATTCTTCGGGACAGCGGGCTTTCTTTGCAGGCTTCCAATAGCTGTAATAGTGAATTCGAAACTACTGACCACGTAAAGTGTTACTGTGGGAAACTCACTACGTTACCGCTAAGTAAACTAATGGGAGTAGATTTTTCGGAATCTCCTCACCTCAGTGGGAGGTGCCAGCCATCCCCATGAACACATAAAAGGGGAAATCGGTGCTTCTCAGGTACACGAATATGGCAGAATAATATGTGCTGGTAGGCTTATTGCCCTTCCAAATGATGACTGACTTTTCTTTTTTTAAGGAAGTTCAATACCTTACTTATGTGTGGTAGCCTAACCTAAATATTTTGATTGTTTACTGGGATGTAATTACCTGCGTTTTATAAAACCGAAAGATACAATTAAGTTGACTTATTGCAATTCATATTAAAAATGCCGCTTAACGAAGTGACCTTCGCAGTTGTTATAACTTTTGCAAATGCCGTGTAGGTTATTCACATATGGAGGGAGTTCGTACAGTGACGCTAAAATCAAACTCTGTAAGCTTTTCTGCCATTTTACAACTAGAAACACTTTAGTCTTTCAGCGCTGCACAGCGCCGTGGTGATCATATCGAGACACACAAACGATGGGCTGCCGGTCAAAATAAGCAAAAGACTATTGCCAAAAGCACGAGTAAACTAGAGGAAGAAACAGAAGACCTTCACAGTGACTTGGTTGACATAGATGTCGGGAAGATAATCATGCAGGCACGGCAAGAGAAGAATTTGACACAGAAAGATTTAGCAACTAAAATTAATGAGAGACAACAAGTTTGTATATCCTTTTTCGTTACTACTTCTTGCAGGTAATTGCTGATTATGAACAAGGCCGTGCACTGAAAAATCAGAATATTCTCTCAAAACTGGAGAGGGCTTTGGGAGTTAAGCTGCGAGGAAAGGATAAAGGAAAGCCTTTAGGAGGTCCAAAGAAAAGTTGATTCGGGTTTCATTTTTGTTACCCTTATAGAGTGATATGACTGACCTAACAATCTCATAGTCATGTGTAAATTTAACTCACAGATAGAATTTCTCTAAAACAGGTAAAGTGATGTCACCTGTCAGTTTCCGTTGTTACTTATCCAAATAAATACATATGGTACGTTTTGTCTTCGCTTTGTTGGTCAGGACCATTGTATTGTAGTGAAGAAACATGGGCACTTTGATAAGATAGGGTATTAGCTAGTGTTTAACTATGCTATAGTCTAGATGAGAAATCAGTGTTTGCTTGAATGTAGTCACTGAAGGAGCGGCTACCACTCGTTCCGGGAGTTGGTTCCTGTCATTAATCCCTCTAGAAGAGTCCCGTACTTCACTGGAAAGCGATTAGACTGTGGCTTGTGGACCTTCTGATGACCTTTAAGATGGTTAGTTGTATTGTAAGTGGTCGGGTAGATTTTTCTAGTAATATGCGAATTCCTTATCGTTATATGCCTGTAAGCTATGAGTGAGCATTAAGGACTTGATATACAGTGGAATTTTGCCACGTGTGAGTATTCGAGTACATTCACTTTTACAAAAGTGTCTTCAGCATGCGGAGTCTAGGATGTGTAGGTTGAATAGGCTTCCTGTGTTCTAATGGCATACCACATGGTTTCAGAAGATGGAGGGTATTGGGATGCAGTGATAGCATCTACTCCGGAGTTCTTAATTGTTTCTACGAAGGCTTTCTGTTATGGAGCTGGGTTACTTCGTTTCTGCTCAACTGCAGTTCATGACTTCAAATTATGAATTGCAGTTGATGTTGAAAATACTGCCAGTAACTTGTGGTGTCTGGATATAGTCGAACTTACCAAGCACCACGTTAACTTTGCTGCTCAAGATATTTCCATTTGGATTTTCAGTTCGGTAAAAAATCACTTTTGTACAGCTGCAGTATCACTTACCAGATATTAACGATTCATAATATGCAAGACTGGGTTAGTCACTACTGATTTTTATACATACTGGTGGTTTTAGAGTGATTGCATTTTGGTGTAGGTGGTTGTTGTTTCATTATTTTATTGAAGTGATTTAATCTTTCCGACTGATAAATATTCATTCACTTTACATTTTCAAACGTCTAGATGATTTTTGAGTTATTGGGCATCTTAATGCTTTGTTTCGTATAAGCTTCCAAAACGGTGAATACAACCATTGTGGTCCAAGCCGAGCAATCCTACAACAGTTAGTATTCCAATCACTGAGCGTCTAAACAGTACGCACCAGTATGCTTTCTAGGTTCTCTGAGGCCTGCTGAAGATACACAGTATTGTGAATTAGGTAGTCGGCTTTCAGCTGTGGGGTGGTGGCTTTGCAAACAGTTCGTTTACTAATATTTGGTGATGACCATTGAATATGCAGGAGCTACGTTTTTTCATGTCATTTGCGAATATGCAACAGATTTCCAGGTACTTTTTCAAACTAAGGTTTTATGTCAGTCACGTTGCAGGATTACTGAACTGTCTAGGGTATATATAGTGCTAGGAGTTCTAACTCATGTTGGGAAATACATAGGTTTTGTTTACTAACAGAAAGATGTGGAATCACGTTCAACCACTAACAAAGTTCCGTCATTTCAGGTTGATTCCTGTAGATCAAATAGCAGGATCATTCATCAATTGAAACAGGTTAGAAAGAAAACGCTCAGGTGGCATATAGGTTATCCTTAGTACCAGGATGTTCATGTTAATCAAAAGACTTTACTCTAGAAGTTGAGCACTCCCAGGCACTTGCGTCTCTTTACTTTATGATAGGTAGTTCATCAACTGTAGGACAAGTAGCATAACTTCCGCACTTGACAACTATGTTCTGGTACCATGGAGCATCAACTTTTTGAAAGTCATTGTGATAAGGTGACCCTATCGACCACCTCTGATATCGTATTTAACCAATTAGACTCCAAATCTTACCGATATAACGAGATTTCGCTAAGGCGGTATTTACTTAACGATGGTTGTATTGTGGATGTTGTTGACAAGTCTGAGTGTATACCCGAATCTGTTTTCAAGTTTATCCCTAGATAATCGAGGGGACTGCATTGAATAAAACTCACTGTTATCTTTATAAGTGTGACCGGCCTATTGTTAGTCAAAGATTGAACTACTTAATATATAATAGCTTCATTAATTAATGATAAAAATACCTGAGGTTATTCACAGACCAACTTTTACCGCAAGCATTCTGGAGTGTACTTACAATTTCAGTTGCTTACTGACTCTCTGACTTGTATCTCTGATCAAGCATTTCTATTCGAATACGCTTATGGGCAACATCAAGATGATTGTCACTTAATCCCACTGAAAACTCACTTAAATGTATTCTCGATACCCTTATCTTTTTACGTACATTTTTTCGAAGATATGATCCAGCTTCACCTACATACACTATTTTTTTTCAGTTGCCGAAATTCCTCTTCAGCGACACATGCATTGTACGCATACACATTTTGTTGGTAGTTGCCCTTCTAATTGCTAGTCTGAACCGCATGGGTTGTTTAGCTGGGATTCTGGAAGTGCTAATAACCGGTTGTTGGGGACTGTCAATCACAGGCCCAAAAACTGGTCAAAACTAAGCACATGTACCCATTCTTCATCACCTTAAGAACTTTAAGTACGTAGTTAGTCATTCAGAAGAGTACTTTTGTGAACTATGCATAACATAAACCACGTGAGTTCTGTGAAATAATTAAAAATCATGATGACTCAATGATTTGTAATGATGCAACATAGGTAAGTTTTGAAACTTTATGGATGAAGAACATTTTCACCTAGATAACTTTGAGTATTCTGCAAATTTTATTGTCTAAGATTATTCTGTGATTGTTAACCGTCTTGGGCCATCTTTGTTGCTTGCACTAGAGATGTATGGTTATCAGCTCCGTCATTGGGCTTTTTTCGCTTGTTTAATTCGGCATTTAATATACGGGCGTTACAATTAGTAGAGTTCTAGATCTATTCACTAACGACAACACAGTTATTCGCGTATAGTGGCATCACTATGTGAACACTGTTGAGGTGAGGCGAAGGGTACTAGGCAAGACAGGCAAGTCGATTGATAAGGTTGTGAACCCCAGTCGACTGAGATAGCCTGAACATGTGTTGCGCTTGCTGATCCGTCGCCTACCTCGATATGCCATGCTGCTGGAAGTTGGATTAGGTTGGGTAAGGGTTCAGAGTGACCAGACAAAGACTTGACATCAGTGCATGAAGTCTTTGACTGATCTGAGTTGTGTGGGAGAAATATAGACTCCCTATTTGAGGTCCCTGAGGCGAAAAGAATCTATGGGTAAGGACATGGCTGAGAATCGGTCACAATGGCCCAGATATATTCCCTCCTTGACATCCAAAACTTGAATATTTGCATTAACTGTTATCTTCAGGTTTTCTGTCCTGTCACACAACTCTGACTACTTTGATATAATTTTTTTCTATCCACCTGTTCTTTATATGCTACTGTAAAGTGTGACAACTTGAGCCGATGCACTTGTGGGCGAGATTCTACGTTGATTTTATCTATCGGTCTGTCTGGAATAATATCCGATAGTTAACTTGTGATCAGTTAAACAGTGTAAAGAAGAAAAATATTCTCCCATCAGTAGTTTACCACTGTACTTTACTCAGTGCTGAGAACGTTTTTGGAAATAGTGCTGTAGTGGTCAGTTGTAACCTAATAGCTTAGTGGTGCTGACTAGAATTTCCAAAAGAGCATGTTTCATCGCTGTTGCAAATACGCCTTACTGATAAATTTCAACTAATACAAAACCTAGAGCATTCTACCGACTGATTGCTAACATAGTACATGATATTGTCATGCTACTTAGCTTAGTGGTTATGTTGCAGACGTAAGCGGTAAACTTCAGTTCATGTTAACACTTCAGATTTGACAGTTACATTAACATCAGGTAACCAACTCATGTGTGGTCTGAAATGCTTCGCTCTTGTCAGAACAACTCATGAATGAAGATAAAAAAGTTTCTCTTTCTGGAAACACCTTTGTATTCCTCAGTTTTAATTGCTAGTACTTACTGTTACTGTTTACGAGTTCAGTCTTTATATTCGGGTATGGGAACTAATTTTTATAAGTAAGGGGTTTAGTTACAGTCAGTCGAATAGCTATTATCTTCTCTGGTGACTGATGAAATCTATGACGCAGTCGGTCTTTGTTTTAGTATTCTAATTTTCTTCAATCATGATTATCAACATAGGATCAAGCATTAATGCATAGCGGTTCGAGTTCTCACACTTCATATCATCATATCAAGAAGGAAAATAAGATGAAAATTAGGGGAATACAGAAGAATTGGTCAAAAGTAGTAAAAGAGAGGAAGAAGAAATGAGATGCTGAGTTCAGTATAGCGATTAAGTTTGAGACAACGTAAGGATATGTCTACGCCACTGACTTCGATTCTGGGCCGTATCACCTAGGGTCTCCAACCACTGGTCTGTATTGTCACTTGGACGCCAACCGGCTAGTCTGCATCTCCCTACATGACTCAGTCCAATAATTAAAGACCATGCACTGAGGTTATGTTTTAATCTGACCACACTGAGCCTTTTTCCAGCTTGAATCTACTTTAGCTAACATTGCGTGACGAGGTAGAGGCTAACTAGGTGAGCATAACGACGCATACCTCCCTGATACTGTACACACTTGATTTCTGTGTTACAGACGTGACACCACGATACACAGCCTAGGCTACGAAGGCAATAGTGGTCAAACACCTGAAGCGTTTTCACTTCCTCTATTTTTAATGGCCATAATTCACAGCCATGCAGTAGGATAGAGCAAACTTCAGTGCAGTACACACGACCCTTAATAAACAATGGGTATTGCGGTGGCGCCACAGTTGGCGTAAGTTGGCAAAAGCCAGTCGAGCCTTTTGTATCCGTGCAGAGATTTTGTCGATCAGTGACCCATAAGTGCTGATCCGACTTCTTAGTCGAATGAGATGGTCGACGACTTCACTCTCTATTGTTATCCAGGGCACCACAGAAGGCCAGTTCTGGAACAACGATTTGCATTCAGGTGACGATAGACGCATCCTAAGTATTTCCAAATTTCCACTCAAGTTGTCCAGAAGACTGGGCATCTTGTCAACGTCTTCACCTAACAGGACTATGTGATCT